CGTCTCCTCCGGAGGGCAGGTTACGGGCATGAAGCCGACTAAACCGCCTCTCCCTCCGTGCCCACCTCCAAGTTTTCCTGAATGAAGATCCGCCCCGTGTGCGTGCTCGCCGCCTGACGGCGCGGACTGGGCTTCACCCCCAGGCCTCGGGCCCGCCCTCCCCGCACAGACCCGAGGGGCTGCGCTCCTCACGACTCACAGGCGCTGCCAAGAGCAGCAGCGGGGTCTGAAATGCGTGTGTGGTGATGGCCCCCCGTTGAAGCCGGCGGGATGGACAGGCCTCCCCGGAAAGCTTGATTGGCTGGAGGCTTGCGACGGCCCCTTCCTGGGCGCCCTCGGGGCGGGGGGGGGTCCAGAAAACAACCAGCTACTTCACGTTTCCCCAAACTTTAAACAGTTGTCCTCTGCTGCCAGGTCTACAAAATATCTGCCACAAAAACCTTTCACAGAGGAGGACAGGGAGTCACATGTATATTGTTAATGTAACCATGGTAACCCACAAATGCCACCAATGTGTTTGTTTCATACACAAATGAGGGGACAGCTGCGGAGCCACCCGTCTGTGTCTGCCGGTGTTAAAATCAATGCGAGCCAGGATGGCCGGGTCGGAAGCCTACACCTTCATCTGTCTTCATCAGGGCTTTCAAGGACTGTCCCACCCCCCGCGCTGTGAGGAGCGGCTTGCAGGCCTCGGGGTTCAGGAGCGAGTGTCCTTGGTCCGTGCAGCAGCGCCTTTGGAGGGGATGCCCCGGGGGGAGGCGCCGGACCTCCGCGGGCGTCACTGCTGGTCGGAGCAGTTTCCCAGCCTCTCGGTGGCTTTCAGGGCTTTGGAGCCATGGATCCCCCCAGGCTCAGGGCTGGGCTGCGCTGTGGCGTTGGCGGTGCGGCCCCCGGGAACCCCGGAGCAACCTCGCTGAGTGCGGTGACGGGTTCTGCCGGCCCTTTGCCCGGCCCCACCCTGTTAGAAGTGAGGAAGCCGAGGGCTGGTTCCAGGTCGCCTCGCTATGATCCGGCACTAGCTGGCTTAGCTGCCCAAGAGCGGATAGACCTGCTAATAACAGCCTACCTTTGGCAGACGTTTTGAAAATATTCAAAAAGTGAAAAGTGTAATATGCAAGCCTGAATAGTTTCTTTAAAAAGGAAAAACGCTGTAACTATATTGAAAATACAGTTAACAGTTCTACAGGGCAGACATAAAGTCTGGGACTCGATTCTGCATTACGACAATAAATGGTTTTTTACGTGCCGGCCTACGTCTCGAGACAGCGGGCTGTGCGCTGTAACACAGCCTAAGGTAGGTGAAGGGTGATTCGTTAAAACAAGAACATTTAAAAAGCAAACCGTAGGTAAGACTCGTGGAACGAATGGCTCCCTGGTCACCAAAGCGTTCAGTTTCACAGATAGGTGTACCTTTTGCCTCTGTTCTGCACTTTGGGCCATAAGAAAAAGAGAATACATGTTTTTCCTGAATTCATTTATATAATTATAATTTCATCCTGAATAAAATATTAATCAAAGCTCTGTTCATGAGTTGAAGATACTTCCATTGTTCCCAGAAACCAAAATAGCTTTCTAAAACGGAATACGCTTTATCTCCAGATTGGCTTAACCCAAAATAGATGCTCAGCATAATATTTCATAATTTTGAAAATTAAATACCGTATTTGAGCAACCTTACATTAGTGCTCAAGTGAGCGCTTCAAAGAACTTACCATTTTGTAGCTTAAAAATAACTGATAAAAACTATGAAAATCTAGTAAAAAGCGGCATCTGGCTCCCGTGATGCATCGTAGTTTACACATGGCGCCTGGCTTATTTACGGCAGGGTAACAAGCCCACCCTTCTGTTTACTTATAGTCACGCCCAACGGGCTTGGGAAGTAGCAATACAATTCTGTGGGGCCCGTTTTCTTCAGTCCCCACCGGGTTTGTGCCCATCGATGTCACTGCTGTGGAGTGGGCGGCCATTTCTGCAGTAGCAGTTCGGGTCAGGAAGCTAGCCTCCACAAGGCCCCACCACAGAGGGACCACGGGGGCCGTCCCCTTGGTGCTGGGGACTCCCCGACACTCCCCGGGGCTATGTGGCTGTTCAGAACCAGAGCCTGCGGCTGGCGCTGGTCTGAGGTTTCCTGCAGCAGAGCGAGCCTTTGCTAACGCGCACTTTATTACCTGTGTTTACCGAGTCATGAGCGCTGACCTTCCCTGACTCACTGGACTTGCAGAACGCAGGTTCCCCGTTGGCGGGACCATGGCCAGGAAGAAGGCCTCCCAGGGGGGAGGCGTCAGGCATTTTAAAAGTCATCAGGTGTGTTTAACAAAATCCGTAGGCGCTAACTCGACAATAAAAGGGTTTTTACCCTCGTTTTGAAATATCAACTGTATTTCAGAGTTCTTCTCCAAGTCCACAACGAAGACAGAATCTAGGCCCATGCCACACGGCAGTGTATCATCATCATGGGTTACTTTCTAATGTCTCCACAGTGCTAAGACAGAGAGGTAGTCGGCTGTAACACTTTCTTACTTAAATTTGACTCAGTTAATGGTTCACCTCCTAGGAAAATGCCACCTCACGTGTGAAAGTCACCAAAGCAGCAATGAGATCTCAGGGAAATGCGGAGGACAGCGGAGGAACATCTGTCGCCCCTCTCCGCCCCCCCCCCCCCGACACCAAGCCCTCCAAACAATGTTGTCTTTTTTTTTTTTTTTGGTTGTATTTTAATGTCCCCTTCTGTGAGTATGTAGAATCCCGGGGCAAATGCTGCCCCGGGAATAGGTTCCTTCTCCCGTCAGCCAGCGGGGCTGGAGGGGGCAGAAGGCGAGGCCATGGGGCGGGCTTGCGGGTGTAACCCCGGCCCGGGCCACCCACGCCCCCACCTCCTGTTCACGGCCCCACGAGCCAGGAGCCGCGCGCAGTGGCGGTCTGCTAGCTAAGGTCAGACAGGGCGGGCACCTCCCCGCGCCGGGGTCCACTCCACGACGGCCCGCCCGGTCGCTGTGCTGTCCTGTGACCTGTGACCCTCTCAGGACCAGGGAAGCCCGTGGGTCCACCACCTGCAGGTCTGCACGTTGGCGGCCTCAGCAACTCCAGTAACTGTGACTGGATGGCTGGGCAGCGCGCAGCTGGGTGCCGCTTCCTGCGGGTCCGCGGCGACCCTCTCCCCCTGTGCTGCTGACCTCGGGGGACGGAGAGCAAACGTGAGCGGGAGGTGACATGACTAAGAGGAAGAGAAACCCTCTAAAAGTGGAGGGGTCAGTTCAGAGATCCCCTCGGAGAGCCTGAAGAGGGCGGAAGTTCCCGCCTGCCCCACTTCCACGCTTTCCTCGCGGGCTCCGAACGCCCTGCTGGAAGGCAGCGCGGGGACACAGGCCCGGTGGAGGGCCTGGGGTGCGTGAGGTTCCAGCCCGAGGGCGGTCGCGCGCGGAGCCCCGGGCTCCTGCGCGAAGGTGTCCCCATGCCTGGAGGCCCCAGAGAGAACGGCTCACACTGCGCCTTTATCCCACGTTCTGAAGGTCTATTGTGAGCGGCAGGCCCCTTGCCTTTTCGCACTCCCTCATGTGACTGGATGGGGCCACACATCTGCCGGCCTCGCTCACATCTGCATGCAGAGCAGGGCCCAGGGGACACGCGCGGCCCCGAGCCCGCGACCCCCCGTCACCCAGGACCGATCCTGACCCAGGCACCCTGCTGAACTTTCCACACCCCCAGTCCGCTCTCTGAAAAAGGCGCTCATGGGCATATTCAAGACAGATTCATTATTCAGACCTCCGTGTCCTGCCAAAGCAAATTGCAAAACAAAACAACATACAATGTCTTACAGAAAAGCCTGGGAGCAAAACCCCGAGTCAGCACGACCTGCCCCCTCCGCTGAACCCCTTTCCCTTTATTGTCGTGGTCTGGGAATGGAGCACTTCCTGGGCCTGGGGTGCGGAGAAGCGTCCGTTCCCCTGGGCTCGGCCTCTGCCTGTGCAGTCCCAGCGCCTGACACACTTTCTCCCCCGTCCCCACCCCCTCATTCCCACGCCGTGCCAGGTCCTGTGCTGGGTTGGGGCCCGGGCTGCAGCGGAGCGCCTGGCAGGCAAGGTGCCCTCTCCCGGTCGCGCTCCCAGGCCAGCTCCCTCGCCAGGCTGGGGCGGGGGGTGCCTGTTTTCACACGTGTCCCCGGTGCGCGGCGCCCCCTGGGCCCCTGGGTCTTCCCTGTCCCCCCCGGCAGGGACTTCCAGGGCCGCAGGCGGCAGCTGCCCACTCCCCTCTCCACGCGGCACAAAGGGCGAAGGCTGGCAAACTTTTCTCCCTCCCCGCCGCGCTGGCCGCGCGGGGAACCCGGCACGGCTCGCCCGGGCGCGGACCGAGGCTGCCCCGACATTTCATCATCGCTGGCGGCCGCCCGAGCTCGGGACGGGTGGGGTGAGGGCTGGTCCTCACTTCGATCGCCCACGGGAGAGTAGACTGTTGAGGATGCTCGGACTTCCACACGCTCAGAGCTTTGTGAATTGCGCCCCTTGTCCTTTTCTTTACCCACAAGGCCACCGCCAGCACATCATCTCTTCCCTCCCCACGGCCGGCCTCCTCCTCCCTCCCCTCGGCCCTCTCTCCCACCGCCCGGGGGGCCCCGTTCCGCGCTCTGCGCGCCCGGCCGCCTTCCCAGTCCACCTCCCCGCCGGCGGCCCTCCTCCCCCGGTCCCCGGGCGTCGCCTCCCCCGCGCGGGCTCACCTCCCGTCGCTGCCTCTGGCCCATTCCTGCCTGGCCTTCCTGGCGAACTGGGGCTCTCCCCACCCCCGTGGGGCTTGGGGGCAGAAAGCGGTTACTAGATCCCGGCTTCCCCGACTTCGTCACCGTCCCCAGCTCGGGGAGCCGCGCCCCCTCGTCGCCCGTAGGCCCGCGATCTCTCCCCGCGGTTCCCCAGACCCTCCTGGGCTCGCCGGGCGGCCAAGTTTGCCTCGACTTGCCCTCGCTGCAGCCCGCACCGCCCGCCGCTGCCCGGCCGGGCGAGGGCACTTACCCGAGGCGCGGCTGGCGGGGTGTGGACCAGAGCCGGCTGCGGCGGGAGGAACCGGAGAAGGTCGGGCTGAGCGGCGTCTCCCGCCCGGCCCGCAGCGCGCCCGGCTCCTGGGGGGCCCCGGCAGAGCCCCGAGACGGGAGGAGAGGCAGCCACGCGAGCAACAGCTGCCGCCGGCCTGGGCTCGAGCCGGCGCTCGGGGATCGGGCAGAGGCAGGCAGGGTCGGGAAGGACGGCGGGGGAAGTGGGGTGCAGAGGGCGGGGCAGCGTGCGGCCCGGTCCGGGGGAAGGGCCCGGGGCGCCGAGGGTACCGGTGCCGGTGCCGCCGCCGCCGCGCAGGCTGAGGCCGCCGGCCCCTCTCCAGGCGCGGGCGCACGGCCTCGCTGGCTCCGCGCTCGCCGCCGCCGCCGCCGGCCGCCTCGGTGCGCCCGCTTTGTGCTCCGCGCAGCCGGCGTGCACCTGGTGTAAGCACAGGCGGTCAGCTGACGGGCGCGCGCCGATTGGCTGCTCCGCGCGCCCCGCCCGCCCCGCGCCCGCGCCCCCTCCCGCCCCGCGCCCGCGCCCCCGCCCGGCTCGCCGCGTGCTGGGCACCATCTGGGGCCGGCCCAACAAAGGCGCAGCGCGGGGCTCGGCGGCCCGGCCGCCGCTTTTTGTCTCGGGGACGACAGGCTGCAGCCGCGCGAGGTGGCAGAGCACACCGCCGTTCCCGGCAAAGGGCGCACAAACGGAAGAATCGCCCGGGCCAGGAGGCCCGCGAGGCGCGATGGGGCCCGACCTCTGCGCACTGGAACCTCCGCCGTGTTTAAAAAGGCACGGCGACATGCCGGGGGCGGGGAGCGGGGGCGGCGGCGCGACACGCGTGGCCGTGGAACGCCTCTTGCCGCCGGAAGCAGGATTACATGGACGGCGAAGCTTTCAGATGCGTTTCTGAAACTTTGTAATTACGGCTTCTGGTGTGCTAGGGGTGGAAGTTGCGTTCAGAGAAGCGGGGGTGGAGACTGCAGTCTGTCTGAAGTGGGAGCGTGTCCAGCATCGGTTGGGGATGGGTCTGTGGAGTCTCAGCTTCCAAGGGCCCGGGTGGGAGCCAGGCTCCAGCGAAGCCCTGGGCCCTCATCGCTGGCGACTCTTTCAAGCTGGAGCATTGCTGACCCTAAGCACTAAACGGCTTTGGGCGAGAGAAGGTGGTAACATGGCTTCATGACGCCCCGGCTCAGACCTTCTGGGGAAACTGGAGGGATACACTGTTACGCAATCATATTTGAGTTCCTTCAAGACATAGTTAATGTGAATTTAACCCAACCAAACAATTATATTTGGGTCCCTGTGGCATTTGTTGGTGTCTTTCACAGACATTTGATAAACACTTGATGCTCCTACATGTTCATCTCCTTTATTTCATCCTGAAACTGTCAGGAGGGTCCCAATGGGTCCTGGAAGACTCTAGGCAAAGAAGATACGCTTCCTGCTACAAGGGAGGCGGAGAGTAGGACGGCTCTCCCAGTAGGTGCCTGGCAACAAGGGGGCGGCATGCTGCCTGTGAATAAGATTTAAGAAGTTCCTACGCAAGCAGAGTCCAGGACCTTTCCCCAGAGGCGCCCTTTTGTCTCTGTCCCCCTTTCCTGTGCTGATTACACGTGCTTGGAGCTTGTGCGCAAGAAGGCAGGCCTCTGGCGGAAACCCAGAACTTGAACAACTGGGGAAAGGGGGTCCCAGGTTTCTTAGGGCGTCTCCTTCAGGTCTCCAGCCAGCCTTTCCGGGAGTGGTGTGTCACGCGCCCCGTGGGGCCCTACAGAGGCAGGGCCGGAGCGGGGAGGGCGGGCAGCCGAAGCAGTGGCTGGTGGTGGGCAGGGACTCTGTCGCGGGCGAGCTCTGTAACAGCTGCCAGGTCGGGGAAGAGACTTGATGAAAATGGGATGAAGCCCAGCGAAGAAGGGACCGGGCCAGCAGTGCCTGGCCCCGTTGTGCCTCGCTGGCCTCCGAATGACAACGAACGGCTGGGCTTCGGAGCCGGGCCACCGCTGCGCTCGGCTCAGCGCTGCGATCCGTGAGCTGTGTCTCTCTGGGCAAGTCATTGTACCATGTAAGCCTCTGTTTCCTTGGCTATAAAGTAGAGTTAATAACAGTAGCTATTCCAAAGGGTTGTGCCGATTGAGAATAAGCATGTAAAATACTTCATGTAGTTCTTTTCTTTTTTTCCTTTAACCAGGTGGGGCAGGCAGGAGCGGGCAAGGCCCAGGCAGAGAAACCCAGAGCAGAAGGGACCCGCGCCCTCAGGTACACGTGGCTGTCTGCCACAGGTCTGTGCCCGCACCGTTCTCTCACCTGCACTCGGACTTGTTGGGATTCACGCACGTTGCCTCCCACGCGCGGGCAGTTGGCTGGTTTCGAACGAGCCCCAAGTTGTTCACGCTCCCCTGCTGGGTCCATATCAGCGGCTCCCGCTCTGTTTCACTGCGCAGGAGCGGACTCTGACCCTTAGTTACTGCAGTGGGTCGTCCATGCGGTCAGATAGGACACACCCCTGGCTACCCCGTGGCAGGTCTTAGCACAGCTCTTGGTATGCAGTAAACGGGGGGCAGTGCGAGCACTAGACCTGATTAGCCAGGCAGGAAAGACGGAGCGAGGGGGCGCGGTCATGGCGGGGCGTGGTCAGAGGTGGGCGGGGCTGTGCCCTGGAGGGGTGGCTGCGGGTCCAGGCGGACCCAGAGCAGGCCTGGCCTTCCCAAGGGAGCCTGAAACGCGGTCCGAAGATCAGAAGTAGGATGGGTCGCCTAAATGGCTCTCCGGCCCCACATTTCAGGAACTGCCACCTTACACCTCTGCCAAGGTGTTTCAGGATTATTCTATCAGCTGACACGTCCAGAAGCTCTTTGTCGCTGGCGTGGATGAAGGGGAACCGGTCTACGGACCCCGATAAGTGGACCAGACCCACTTGATTCTCTTTCAGAGCCCTCCGACCCCCCTGAATCATCCCCGGGGAGCTCGCTGGGCCCTGGGCCCCAAAGGTGCTCGTCCGGAAGGACGTGGCGGTCAGAGTTGTTTACTGCTGTCCCCGGGGAAGACGGCGGGGCTTTGGAGGAGAGCGGGAGCAGGCGGAAGGGCTGAGGGGTCCCAGAAGAGCCGGCGCCCTGGTGACAAAGGAGGAGCTGGCCCTGCAGCCAGTGGCGTGGCCACCGTCCGTCCCGGTTCCTCGCTGCCACGGCTCCCCCCCCCCCCCCCCCGCCCCCCGCTTCCTTAGCTGCGGTTTGAAGCAACGTTATAATGGGCATGACCCTAATGGCACTGTCTGCGGTGACATGAAGGGGGGAAAGAAAAATGAAACTTCGCGGGGCGGTCAGGTTAGAACAGTCTTTGAAACACCCTCTGTATTTTGAGAACAAAGTTACAGCAGGCCATTTAAAACCACACTCTTTCAAAGGAAGAGTGATGCCCGTCTCTAATGGAGGTATTAACCGAGTGCCGGGAGTCTGTGTGTTTTCCGGAGTCCGAATGAACGTCGGAGTTTGAGAACAGCACCACGGAACTCTTAGAGGAGGAAGGTGCCGCAGTTCATTCATAATCAGGTGACCGTTGGGACTTTCATACCGAATGCGTCTTCCTGAGCATTCGGGACAAGTGAACGGGTCTGCTCCATAGTTTATACATGCTTTCCTGTCCTAGTTTTGTGCTGCCTATAAAGTCGTTCCAACAGAAAAAAAGCATTCATTGAGGTTTCTGTAATTAAAGTTATTTTAGCATTTATAAATATCTAATAATTTGACAAAAAAGCAAGGTGACCAGCCACCTCGGTTTGCCTGGGTCTCAGTGCCAGAGGCCGCACGTCTCAGGAAGCCCCTCGTCCCGGGGCGACGCAGGACGAGCTGCCGTCCCGACTGTCATGGGCTCGGGTGGGCCGGCGGCGCTGCTGCAGCGATAGCGGGCTTACAACCTCGCCTCCACCCCGTGGTGTCCTCGTGCCCGGCTGGCTCAGGATCCCGTTTCCCTCATAGAACTTAATGACTGCAGAGCCTTGGACGTCATCTACTCCGACCTCCTTTTCTTTTCATAGATAAGGAAACTGAGGCCCAGAGAGGGGCCCTGCGGGTCTGCTGGGAAGCCCACTCCAAAGAGCCCGGCTCTCCGGTAGGCCCCCCTTCCATGGGGAGCGCGCTTCAAGGCCCCTTCCCCGTAGATGCCTGGAGCCATGGTAGTACTGACCCCTGTATGTACCCTGTTTATTCCTGCGCATGTGCAGGTGTGAAAAAGTTTGCTTGATGAAGTAGGCACAGTGAGGGATTAGCAACAGTAACTAATCATGCAATAGAACAGTTGTTATAACAATACACTGTGACCAGAGTTACGTGAATGTGGTAGGTGTCTCTCCATCAATATCTTACGGTACTTGACTCACTTTTTCACTTACAGGAAGCATTTCCGGCTTCTCTCTGGCGTGCGTGTCTGAACCGCCTGTGTCACTGCTCTCGCACTTGGGGGCCTTGATGAAGTCCAATAAGGGCAACTTAAGCGCACGCGCCGTGGGGCGGGGGCAGGAGGTGCATCTGATCGCCCCGGAGGCTGCTGAGCGACTGGTGGGCGGGGAGGCCGGGGGAGGCCGGGGACAGGGGGTGAGTCGGTCCGGCCTGGGTGGGACAAAGTGCAACAGACAGCGTGGGGCCCCATCAAGCTAAGCGGGATGGCAGTCAATGAAGAGTTACGAATTGTTTATTTCTGGGATTTCCCACGTAATGTTTGTGGACCATGGTTGACCCTGGGCCACTGAAACTGCAGAAATAGGGGCCATGGGCCAAGGGGCAGGTCCTAGCCCAGCCCCCGGCCTGGAGTGGACCCCAGGAGACACCTTGTGAAAGAATAAGTTGAGTCAATTAACACATGAACATCTCTATGTAATTGAACACATTATATCATGTGCATTTTACTCCTAGCTTTAAAAAATGTCTTTGAAACTATGATGCTTAATGGCTATATAGTTTCATCAATCTCCTGTTGGTGAGAAATGAGGCCTTTGTCAATTATTTTCTATAGTGTAATAAACATACTTATCAGAAATGCCCATTTTGGATATTAACTGTAGATACATAAACTATAATATGCATTATCAATTTAACATACTCAGTTATTTCTCTTTTCATTACAATTTATCTTTCGACAGCCAGACGTTACTAAAAAAATAAAAAGTTATTTAGTTCTTTTGCTTTTATATTGCCAAGATTTTGGTTGATAAGAGACTTTTAGAATCAAGGGCCTTTGTTTTCAGTTATTTGCTCTCCATTCCGAGCTCCCTTTTGCCTGGATGTTAACAGCTGACACAGCTGCCTACTCTGCCGGGCACGGCGCCGGGTGATGGCTGCCATGTTGAGAGCGACCGTGCGGCATCATGGGTAGGAGCCGGGCCCTTGATTTATG